GTTGAGAGGAGCCAACCTGCTTTGACCCCATGGAACACAGATGCATGTATTCCAGCTCTTGAGACACTACATAAAATATATGCCACTGGTATGCATATATAGCTTCATGGAGTGCACCAGCCCAAAGTTGAATGTCCTATATTTCATCTGGCCACTTTCTAGTCTCTTGGAGCATATTATAATTGTGTTGATTGTTGGCTCTCCATAATAAAATGGGTTCCTGGGTCTGATACAGTGTTGAGTGGGATTCTATGCTGATAGGTCAGATTGTCTTGAAATAGTAGTGTGAGGGAAGCACGGTGAGCAGGAAAGCAAACCCGGATCTGTTTTTTAGGTGATGGCATCCAGTTAGAAATGCTGCCATTCAGAGCTCCACCATCCCAGCTCCCCACCCCTAGATGGTACATGAGTGCCTGAGAGAAGGTGTGAGTCACAGGATCTTGTGGTGGAGAGAGAGTTGGGGTCCTTCCATACAGGAAGCATCCTGCATCCTCCCTGGTCTTTGTTTCAGGGGAGCTTCTGTTTGTGGGCAGCTCAGTGGATGGAAGAACAGTGAAGTGTGTCCTCCCCGAGGCATTCTGCTGTTGTTTGCTGCCGAGGTCTACTGATGAGATCACTTCTGGTGTGATCTTGTAGCTTGGGAAAGGGTGAGGAGAAAATCTTCCATACCCGTGTGCTGGGTAGACTCATCTCAGTCCCGACTCCTGACTATGATGACTGCATGACTGTCAGGCAAGGAGCTTAGCTCCACAGTCTTCAGCAACATCTGCAGTGCTCTGGTCCCTTCAGCATTGTCTCCTTCATCTGCCTACCATTCCACAAGACAGAGGAGAAACTAGACTACGTGCCACACTCTGGTAGCGAGAGACCAAGATCCCCCTCTGCCTCACCAAAGCTGGCTACCCCATTCACTGGGATGTTCCTGCCCCTGGTTGGACGCAAGGGTTGAGAAAATTGGTAAGGGTGCATGTGGGGGCACACTGCTGGACATCTCCTTCTAGAATTCCAGAAAGGGACCTGAGCCCTGGCTTTGTCACCATCTTTACGAGCACCCCTGCTCTCCTCCCTCTCTGGGCCTTTGCACTGCTCATCACATCCTGCTTCCCATAAGCACACTTCACAAAGCAATGTTTATTCTTGATAGGAATGATACATTCCATCAGTATTCTATTCTAATCGATTCTGTTGTGTCCTAATCAATACCTGGGGACAAACACACCAAAAAAAAAACCAAACCAAAACAAAACAAACAAACAAACAAACAAAAAAACACAAAAAAACAAGCACACAAAAACTTATCTTAATGTCACTTAATCAATTTTATGACCCATTCTTGAATGTGAAAAACAGAACTACAGGAAATCTTAAAGTCCTTTCCTAACCTCACATGACTAGCTTGTTTTTGTTTTTAGTTGTTGTTTTGTTTTGTCTTTACAAAACAACTAGCAAGTTAAAAAACTCAGCTTCCAACCTCAAAGCTTCTCTATGACCTCTGTTCTAGGACACATAGCAAGGAAGCTGAGGGCTCGAGCAGGGAGACAGAAGACTGCATAAGAGCCTGGCTTAGGAGTAAATTAAAATGGGTGGGTTTCATATGTGCAAAACATTATCCTCATTATAGGACCTTCTATTATCTCAGTGTGAATGAAGTAAGGTAATATCTGCCAAATGCTAAATCCCGATTCTGGCTGTTTTCCTTCCTCTCTTTTTCTTCACAGCACACTGACTGAGATCTCTTCTGTTCAGGTCTCTGGATTTTGGCCCAGTTAGGGGTCGATAGTGAATAAGGATATGGCTGTTAATAGTGAAAGGAGGCTCCACTCCTTATTCCCATCTAGAAACAAAATCAAGGCACAATCAAACAAACATCTTTGAAACTAGTCAGAGAACATGTATCTCAACATGGCTTGTTTGGTTTACCCAAGGACAGAGTGGGGCCTCAAGGTGAGAGGCTGCCTGGGTGAGCCGCCTCACCCTACAACCCTATACGCCCCTGTGTCCCATTACAGGGACATGGATGGGCATGGTTATAGGCACATTAGGGAGGGGAGGTGACCAGTGCGAAGGTTTAGAAACTATTATAATTTAGGATCTTAAAACTCTTGTGAAAATATCTCTGGATCATTAGGACCGGGACATGACTCCACCAGCACCTGGTCGGTGCAGTGACTAATAAAGTTTGTTACAATTCACCAGCCACTGTGCTCTCTCATTTGACACTTCCATAGGGTCCACAGGGTGCAGGCTAAATGGGGTAATGTGGCCTGGAGGCTATAGCAATCCGTTTCAAGGGAAAAATTGCAGCATGATCCAGTCCATTTATGTGCCTGGTTTGGATAGCACTGTTTGCACAGTGTAAAAGGTGCTACAGAATGAATAAAGGGATAGATGAACACATAAACGGACGCCTTAATGCATGGTCAACTGAGATGGGGATTGGTATTGGGAAATAGTAGAAAATCCATAGATTGGTCTCTGCTCCCAGTTCCTGGCACAGGGCGCCTAAACCCCTTGGAATTTTGTGGGAAATAGGAATGTCTTTTGTTATAACAAGGTGACACTTGGGCTCCTGGATTAGCACCAGGTTAGTGTCAGAATCGAATTGAATTGTGGGGTATCCAGATGGTGTTGCAGAGAATTGCTTGGTGTGGGGAATGAACCCACCTATCTGGTGTCAGATGTGTTGTGAGTGTGTTGTAGTGAGCGTAAAGGAAGAGGGGAGGTTTTTTATTTGCAGGTATGTCAAAATAAAATTCATCAGGTATATTTACTGTAAAGGCCCCAGTGCCTTTTGGATGCATTCTAAGTATTCAAAGGAGGGCTAAAATACATGGGTTCTTAAACATGGTTGATCATTGGCTCCTTTGGCGTGAACTTTGAGTGGAGAACACGCTCTGGAAATCAGTGATGCAGACACAAGAGGATACACTTTAGCCAGAATCAGATATTCATACTGTCACCCTCTTTCTTTAGCTTTGCCCCCAAAGTCTTAATTAGTCTTAATTTTTTAAATATTAGTTTATTTCATTGTAGCCATAGTAACAAGGCCATGTAATGAATTTTCTCTATTCTTTGTAAAAATTATTGAAGTTGCTCCTGTCCTTCCCTATCCCTCAAACCCACTAATCACTCCCCTTTTCTTTCAGTTAATCTTTTCTCCCCCAGTCTACAAGCAAATCTCATTCTGGAATGTTAACTCTCAAACCTGAAGATAAAATATTCTTTGATGAGTCTGTCCCTATAATTATTTGCAGGATAATCTTTCCTTTAAATATTAGCAAATTGTTGGCAATCTCTTTGCATACCAACGCACGATTCATTGACAATTCTCTATGGTTGTATTCTTAGTGCAAGTTTTAAAGTAAATAATGCTGGCTTATGAGCTGACAAATCTGCTGCTGAAATACTTTCATTTTCTATCTACCAGCTGTCCTCTCTGAGAGGCAAGACGTAATGAGTCCCAGGAAGAGGATTATATAGTACCACCTATTCCATTAGGATATTTTATTTCTAAGTTTGAGAGCAGCCAGTTGTGAGCTTAAATATTATATCACAGAGCTTTTGATTAGAATGTTTTTTTGTTATTCATTTTATACTGCAGAGGTTCAAAATGTATTTCTAATTTAATTTTTTTTTCAACTGAATAGCAGGAGTGATAGCAGCTATGATGTTTCTTCAAAGAGTTTCTGGGAAAAAAAAGTGCTTAGTAACTTTGAGTTCAAAGTATGCTCTAGAGAGCAAGAACAAAAGAAAATCTCTAAGTGTTGGCAAATAAAACAGCATCATTTATTTTGTTGTTAGTAAAATCTTTTTGACTATCTACTACGTGTAAGTCACTGTGTAATGTGTGTAGATATACCATGTCTGCATGTATTCTTGCCCGACAGAAAGTCCAGCATGCAGCTGGTGCTTAATAATTGGAATTCCTGTCCCCAACTCTACCCTGTGCTGAGAGTTTGGGCAAAACAGGTCACAGGAGTTGTCTGACCCCAATGATAGCTGAGGGGACGTCATGCCAACATGAAGTGTTGAGAGGGGAGGCTTTGGGCCATTAGCTCCACAGGATTCCGACAAGCAGGGGAGCCAAACGGATTAAGACGCTGTCTGCGCATTCAGAGAATAGCAAGGCTCTAGCACTGCTCTGTTGTTAATGGAAACTGGGTACTTTTCTTTTATATCGAGCACAATGGTATTTTGATTGTTATAACTACTCAAATGGATAATGTTTTCAAAAGCAGACCTGTACTGAAAATATGCCCCCCATAATTGTCCTTTGCTTCCTTGCTCAAGGTCTGTTGCTCTCACAACAGACTTTGACCCACCACAAGTCACTGTGAAGTCCTGACTTCAGCCCTTGCTTCCTTGCTGGATCTGCTCAAATCTCAGGGCTCACCGTTCAATCCCCTAGCCCATTCTGTCTTTCTCCAAGGACCTCCAGTCCCAGATAAAATCAACCTCTGTGTGTTTGTACCAGCAAGGCTGAACATCGCTGGAGAAAAATCACACAGCCTAGAATATTGGTTTTGCTTTATTCTTGTGATTTTGTACTTGTAACAGACTCTGTGAGCAGCTGGGATTACACATCACCTTGCTCACATAGTCTTGCTCTCCTGCTGTCTGAGATGCATATTTCATACTTTCTCTTCTCTCCCCAGAACTTCACATGGTACTTCTCACTCTTAGCTACTGACCTAACTCTATGACTGGACACCAAAGGACATTACACAAGAGCACCTCATTTTTGGTGCAGCTTGAGAATTGCTTTAAGGCTGGTCTGCAGGGCTGGTGACCCCTCTCAATTGTCCATGCTCTTTGCCAATTCCCTTTCCTCCTTTTTTTACCTTGCCTCTGTCACTGGGAATACCTAGAGTTTTACCAAGGACACTTTGTCTATGTCGAGATATGATCCATAATCCCTATTAGTTACAGGTGCTAGCTGGGCCCATTATTCCATTTCAACCCCCAGGCCCAATTTAACTTCTTATATTTTTGTCTCTTAGTCCAGGATCCTGGCAGAAGACCATGAGCAGTAGTGGGATGGAAGATGACATGAGGAAATAACACATCCAAGGGGATTCTGAGACTTTTAAAGCAGAATTTGCAGGAGCTGGAGTTACACCAGGATGATTGGGAAGGGCCAAAGGGGTATCATGGTGATAAAGATTTTACCCCCTGAATTTTCTTTCTTGAGCTAGAAGTGGTAAGTTTCAATAAGTAACAGAGATCGTAAATTATAAGCCATACGTACGTGTTTGCCATATGTACCCTAGAAGCTTCTACATATTATTTTAGGAAATTATCTTATTTAAACTTAAGACATTTCATTAAATGTAGCCTTGACTATCATTTGAGTTTTGTGGTTTTTGCAAGACTAATGTAAAGGAATTAAATCGCAGTTGTTAAATTGTTTCTGCAGAAGTTTATGATGCACTGATGTCCCTCTTCCTCCTAAACTCCTTCTCAATGGGAGTACACACAATTATTCACCTGCTTATTTATTTCACAAGAAGAAATACTTCTGAACCCCCTACACTATTTCAGTTTTTTTTTTTTATTCTAGGCTTTGATACTTAAGATATAATCAAAATAGATAAAACTTGTTTTCAAAGAGTTTATGTTCTGTGGAAGGGGATTACAATAAGCTTACATCTCTATATATTGGTAGATGCATATATGTGTACATAGGGTGATAAATACTATGAGGGAAGATAAAACAGCCTGAGGAAAAGGTACTGAAACATGGCAAGGGTGGGTAACTCTTTTATATGGACTTGTCAGCAAAGGCCTCATCAAATAGGCTACATTTGATCAGAGTCTTAAGGAAAGGAGGGAATAAGCCCAGAAGAGGCAGGCCCAAGGTCATTGCAAGTGTGCAGACACTGGGGAGGAAGCATGCTCAGTGTGCCTGAAAGACAACAGGAGGCGAGCAAGACTGCAAGAGAGCGATTGGAAGGGTGAGCCAAGGGGGTGGGATCAAAGACAAGTACAGATTGCAGATCTCCTGGGAAAGATTTCTTAGGAAGAGCATTGAATGCACAGGTCTCTAATAAAAGAGAATTATAATTTGGACTTCATCATAATTAAAAACTTCTATTCCTCAAAAGTCATTGATAATTAAAGAAAACTATACGTCTAAGACTGATAGAAAATATTTGTAAGACACATATCTCATAAAGCACTTGCATCTAGGATATATAAAGAACTCTCAAAATTCAATAAGAAAATAAAACTTCAATTAAAAAAATTAGCAAAAGATCTGAACAGACGCTTCACCCAAAAAAACAGAATAGCAGGTAAGCACATGAAAAATAAAAACAACAACAACAAAAAAGGCTCAACATCATTAATCAAGAATAAAATTACAGAAAAGTACAATGACACATCTATTAGAAAACTGAAAAAAAAAAACAACTGTGCATATACATATCCATTGCTGGAGAAGATACAGAGAGACTGGAACTCACATACATTTCTAATAGGAATGCAAAATGGTGCAGATATTTTGGAAAGTAGTTTTTTATAGTCTCAAAAAATTAAACATTTATCATATGGTCTAGTGCTCCTACTTACATGTATTTGACCCTAGAGAAATGAAAATTTAAGTTCCCACAAAAATCTATCTGCAAATATTTATAGCATCTTTCATTGTAATCACCGAAGCTGGAAAAATCTAATCAACTTGGGTTTTTCAAAATAGTGAATGGATCAATAGACAGTGTTATGTGCATACAATGGAATATTACCAGGCAATAAAAAGTAACATACTATTGTTACACAAAGCAACAAGGGAGAATCTCAAGTGCATAATATTAAATGAAGGAAGCCAACATTTCCATACTATATCATTCCTTTGTGTGACATTGTGGAAAAGGAAAAATCACAGTGGTAGAAATGATGCTGGTGGCAGGGGACAACATAGGGGAAGGATGATGACACTTTGGGGTGATAGAAGTGTTCTATATATTGATTGTGGTGGTGGTTACAGAACCTATTGCATTTATTAAAGTTTATGAGCTGTACACTCACTGTGTGTCTATTACCTTAATAGAGCTAATTAAAATATTAGAAGTCTGATTTATGTGGATATTACACTAACCAAGAATTATGTATATCATTAGTGAAAATTATAATGAGGCGGGTGATAAAATCCTTAAGGAATAAGGATTTCGGGGTTTGTAGGCGACTCAAACAAATGGTATTATCTGATTCCGTGAGTTCCAAACCTGGGGACTCTTCAGGGAGGAAGCTAAATGAAAGGAGTTTACATCAAAGCTTTGGAAACAGCAGTAAAAGGGAAGCTCCTTGAGCTGCATGAAGGGTGTGGATGGGTAAACAGTTGTGGTTTCGAGAAGATTTCAGAGAAAGCAGAGTTCTCCATGGTGTCCCAGATTCCAATAAGAACAAGAACAGCAACAACATTTAAGAAATGAGATTTAAAAAAAAAAATAAGAGAATGTACTAATGACTAACATTTCCAAAAGGTAGAGTGGAAGTATTGAGGACACTGGTGATGAATGGAAGAAAGATCAGTTTAACAACATACAGAACCACAGTGGAGGGAGAATCCAAGGGATGCAGGGGGACCTAGGCTTATTAACCTTATGGGGGCTCATGACCTCCATGTCAAAGAACCATAGGAGGACCAAGGTGGGTGTACCTCTGAGTGTTGGCAGGAGGTGAGGGTAGAGGTCACCCGTGAGCACGTAGGGCTCTGGAGGCCCCTCTCCCCTCGTGCTGAAAGTGCTGGCTATATAGAAACAGGGAGGTCTTCCCAAGGTCCCGTGGAGGTTTTTGGTGAATATCTCCAGTGCCTAATTTTAGAGTTTCTAACATCAGAAATTCACTTAATATTTTTATTTATTTATTTATTTATTTATTAAAGATTGTATTTATTTATTTGACAGAGAGAGACACAGCAAGAGAGGGAACACAAGCAGGGGGAGTCGGAGAGGGAGAAGCAGACTTCCCACGGGGCAGGGAGCCCAATGCGGGCTCGATCCCAGGACCCTGGGACCAGGACCCGAGCCGACGGCAGACGCTTAACTGACTGAGCCACCCAGGCGCCCCTCACTTAATATTTTTAAATCAATGGATGGAAAGAAAATGATAAGCGTTCAGAATCCTTTGTCTAATCACACTACTTGACAGTCAGTCTTGCTGTTTAGAGTCCATCAGCATGTGTGACAACAATCTTTTTAATAAAGTAAAATTGTAAATCTTCCTGTTTGTAGATGTAGCGTTCATATTCACTTGACTCCATTTGAAGGCCTACTAAGTGGCTGCTGATTGACTGGGCTTGAACGAATTCACGGGAACAAAGATCCCTTCTCCTGGATAGAGAAAAGGTAGTTTCCTAGTCTTCTGTATTGCTTGGGTTAGTCTACTGTAGGAGAGTGAAATGTGCAGGGTCTAACCAAGCCAGCATAATCCCTTGATCTGGCTACTCTGGGGGCTTGTTTACGCCTCCCAAATTTCTGTCATTGATGGAGTGCTTTCAGAAAGAGAGGCGGTTCCAGTGTAGGAGAGCCAAGGGCAGATATCCTGGTGTCCATTATCAAGGGAGCCTGACCAAAGAATCGGTTCCAGTTCCTAACACGACAGCCCCAGGCCAGCTGGATACCAGTATTATCTGTAACCACAGGTCCATGCATTTCCCAATTTAGGCTGTAGAAGCTCCTTTGCTGTCCACATATGGCTATTCTTTGCTATTTATTTGTTTTGCTTCTCCTGGGGTTCTTTCTCTTGCCATGATTATATCCACCACCTTTCATGACTATGTGGTTCTTCAAAAATTACACATTGATAAATGTTTTAAGGACAAAAGAGAAAGCTGTTTAGAGCTGACATGAAATTTTCTCTTGTTTCCTTAAAGCTTGTTTGCCAGGGAATGAAAAGCTACAATTACTTTAACGTGATCATGGGTTTTCACACCGATGCTGAATGCACAATTACTCTTGGCTTTGGGAATGAGTTTGAAAAGGGACACAGAAAGGTAATCAACTGGGTGTCTTGGGCAGACAAAAGGAGGCTGATTCAGGAAGGGCCAGAGGGCAGAGGACGTGGATGCACAACCCCCTCCTCCTCCCTCCCCCCCCACCTCTGCAGAATGCTCACACTGTGGTTTAACCATTCCCAGAGCTCCTTTCTGGTCCTTATCATCAAATGCTTAATTTTCTTTTTAAGATTTTATTTATTTATTTGACAGAGACAGCAAGAGAGGGAACACAAGCAGGGTGGGGGGACTGGAGAAGGAGAAGCAGGCTCCCTGCTGAACAGGGAGTCCGATGCGGGGCTCAATCCCAGGATGCCAGGATCATGACCTGAGCCAAAGGCAGACGCCTAACAACTGAGCCACCCAGGCGCCCCAAATGGTTAATTTTCAAATGATCGGTTAGATCTGCTTGCCCTAACATGAGATTTCCACCATCTTAATCAGGAATGTGACAGAGGGGCAGCTGGGTGTCTCAGTTGGTTAAGCGTCTGACTTCAGCTCAGGTCATGATCTCAGGGTCCTGGAATCGGGCCCTGTGTCAGCGTCCTCACTCAGCAGGGAGTCTGCTTGTCCCTCTGTCCCTTCCCCTGTGCATGCTCTCTCACACACACACACACTATCTGTCTCAATGTGACAGAATCTGATTGGGTTTTAATCATGGTATTAGTGGTCTCGGGTGAAGTCCGAAAGGAATGAACTCTGGGGGTTTTCTGGGGGTGAGAGGTGACCCCCAAGTGTGAAGTCAGGCACCGCTTTCAGCTTTGAGAAACCTCAGGTGTGTTATTTTTCCTGGAAAACTCAGAGATGCTAATCTCTAAAAATCACTGTATGATCATTTTTAACGAAATCAAATAACCTAAAGAATAGCATAACATGGGTGCCTGGGTGGCTCAGTTGGTTAAGCGACTGCCTTTGGCTCAGGTCATGATCCCGGAGTCCTGGGATCGAGTCCCACGTCGGGCTCCCTGCTCGGCAGGGAGTCTGCTTCTCCCTCTGACCCTACCCCCTCTTGGGCTCTCTGTCTCACTCTCTCTCTCTCAAATAAATAAATAAAATCTTTAAAAAAAAAAAAAAGAATAGCATAACACAACACAAATATATTTTATAGGTACCAGAGTGGGGTCAGTGGAGAGTTCCAGCTTTAAAACAGGGCAGAGCAAGACTTGAATACACTCTGTCACTTCACCAGCTGTGTGGCTTTATACGAGCTACTAACCTCTGCTGAACAAGTTACCTTTTCAGCACATTGAGTCAATAATTCTTACTTTACACAGTTGTTATCAGCATTTGGAAAAAGGGTGTTGACCTTGAAACAGCCAGTATTTTACCAGCAAATGGGTTTATTCGGGAATAGCAGAGGAACTGCAGTTCCAGAGAAGCAAGTTACGGCAAAGATAGGTAAGCCCAGAGGACGAAGGAGAGGACGATTAGTTTGTAAAGAAAGCAAGGCATTGGGAGGGGCTGCCTTGAAGGAAAGTCCCCTGGAGGAAAGGGAGAGTTCAGGTGGTTGATGGTTTCTCACTAGTGGGCTGAGTTGTGGTATTTTCTTATTGGCGGAGCTTGCCTCAAGGACAAGTTTTTCCTTCCTTCTGCTATAGCAAAGTATAGGCTTCTTCAGTTTGGGAATTCAAGAGAACGCAAGACACATCTTTTCCAGATGGGTCTGCAATTGATGACCAGTGATAGCGCGTGAGAGCTCCCCCTTCTGGCAACAAAAGTAAAATGCTTGGTCCATAGAGTTTGATTACAGACTGCTTTCCAGAGGTTCCTGATGCTAAAAATCACTCAAAGCTTTTGTTAGAAATAGTAGATGCCAACCCCCTCCTTTAGAAAGCCTGATGCAACAATTCAGGGTGAGCTCTGGAGTGTGGAAACACGAAGTAAGAAAGATTTGGGAAAGACTTCTGGGGAATGTGGCATTTCCACTGGTGTTTGAAAGCTGGCAGGACTCCTGGGATGCGGATATAGAAAGGCACCTGTAAGGAGAGGAACCTGACAGGGCATGCGCACAGAGCTGGAAGTCTGCAGGGCCCACTGTGAGAGGCTGTAAGGATGGGAGATTAGCATGTAAACTGCACATAAGAAGAGATGGGCGGAGAGTGGAATATAATACACCTGGCATAAAAATCTCACATGTGTGAAAACCAGAAAAGAGACACCTTTGCTGGGATTATTTCACGTGCTACACTGTTCTATAATTTCTTAGGCAGTATAGGCAGATGAGGGATAAGCTCATTTTATCGCAGATACAGAGTTACATTTTGTTTCTTATATAGTCACATTTCTGTATCCATTCTGTACACTTTTTTAGAAAACCCATAGGAGAATGCAATGCTTCTATTAGTGGGTCACGAATAGGAATGTCTATTTTGAACTCACCAATACTACTCTCCTGAAAGTCTGACCCAGCACACATCATAATTCTAATAGGTTTATGTTTTTCTCTAAGTATACCACACTTTTTCTTCTCCCTGGAGGTTCAATGTCAGCTTTCAGTAAACGGTACAAGAATCTATTTTGTTGGTGATTTAACTACAGGGATTCATCCCTCCCTTCTTATTTAACTTCCACATTGAATTTAAATGTTTTATATTTATTTTTTCACCAGTAATCATAAGCCTGAGGCCAGTGAATGAATCTTGAGTAAAAGAATAAATGAGCTGGACTTTTTCCAAAACCTTATTCATTTCCTATGAGCAAGTTGGGAGTCTAGGGAATTAACTGTTTCACACCAGCAGGTTATTTTATATTGCATAAATCTGCTTCTTATTAAAATTAATTTGAGAACAAGAGTAATTATCAATACATTTTTGTTGTTGTGGGTCCCATTCCACATAAAATATTTCAGAAAGTATGCAGTAATAGAGTGTTGGATTATAACAGAAGACACCATCAGCTGGTGGGTTTTAATATCTCCTGACCAGTTTTCCTGCTTTTAAATTGCTCTCTCTCTCTCTCTTTAAAGAGACTTTATTTTTTTTTAGAGCAGTTTTAGGTTCGCAGCAAAATTGAGCAGGAGGTACAGATTTCCCGCCACGCATAGCCTTCCTCGATATCCACATCCCCCACCAGAATAGTACATTTATTATAATGGGTCAGCCTGTATTGACACATCATAATCATCCAAAGTCCCTAGTTTATCTTAGCTCTTACTCTTGGTATTGTGCATTCTGTGAGTTTGGACAAATTTATGATGGCATGTATTCATCCTTATAGTATCATACAGAGTATTTTCACTGTCCTACAAATCCTCTGTGTTCTGTCTGTTCATTCTTCCCTCCTGCTAACCCCTGGAAACCACTGATCTCTTTATTGCCTCCATAGCCCTACTTTTTCCAGAATGTCATATAGTTGGAATCATATATATCATTTTCAGATTGGGTTCTTTCACTTAGTGATATGCATTTAAGCGTCCTCTGTGTTTTCTCGTGGCTTGATAGCTTCTTTCTGTTTAGTGCTGAATAATATTCCATTAAATTGGTGTTTCTTAAACAATGAATTTAGATAGGCATATGGACATGGCATTAAATAAATACTGAATTATGCATGAGTAAGTTCTCTCTATTTTTAATTTATATTTAAATTTTTTTCTGATTACACCAAAGTAGAATCTTCAGCAAATAAGACTACTACTAGCTTACATTTTTCCATAATGAAGTAGAGTTTCATTTTAACATAATACACATGTAAGCAGAAACGATGAGTCCATGCAAATTAACATTCTAAATATATTTAAGAGTAGCAGCTCATATCAGTTTAATAACACTAGAGGTTCATGTGATTGCAGCAAAATTATAAAGGTCATGTTATAATAACAGTGGTTTAGGAAACTCTGCAGCCAGAATGACTTTTTAAAATCCAATTTTGATTATGCCACACTTGCCTTAAAGCCTTTCATTTTATCCTGGAACATCTACGAGGGACTTCTCTTTCTCTAATCTTCTTCATTAA